CTCTGCCCCAGGACCCAGCTCGGCTTCCCCCAGTCTCTCTCTTGTCTCTCCTCCTCCCTCCTCCTGCTCCGGGCGGAGCCCGGCATGGGGGGGCCGGCGTCCGGCAGGCCAGGTACGGTTATGTAGAAATTGGGGAGGCTTGGTGCGGGGAGGTGGAATGGGGGGGGGATCAGGGGCAGGGAGGATTGGCGGACTGAGAGACGGAGAAACCCAGGATAGCCGGACAAGGGGAAGGGGAGGGGTGCCCGTGAACCTGGGGCCCTTGGATGGAGAGGGGGATGAAGCCGGCCAGGTTTGCAATCGACAAGGAAGGGAGAGGACGGCAGTGAGGAGGGGCGCCTGGGAGGAGAGGTGAGGCTGAGGCGCAGGAGAGTGTGTTTGGGGGAAGCGAAACCAGGCAGGTATGGAGGCCGCAGCTCTAAAGGTAGCTACGGGGCCAGACTGGAGATACCAGGGTGGGATTGAGGGGCGGGGACTGGAAGAAGGTAGCCGGAGCCTCCCAAATCCTGGAGGAGGAGGAGGAAGGTGATTTGAGCTATCAGCGAGGGAAGCGGAGACGATCGCTGAGGAGCCAGGGCGCAGGATGAGGGGTGGACGGAGGCCCGGGCCCAGGCGAAGAACTGGAAGGGGGAAGGCAGGGGATGGAGATATTTGGATGGTAGTATTGTTAATACCCAACTCAGAGTGCCCCTACCCTTTCTCCAGCATCCCAGCCCTGCCCTCCTGACACCCCCCAGCCTCAGGGCCCAAGATGGGGTGGGGAATCTGACTACCTCCCCCTTCCCCAGTGGGGTGCAATGTTTGCAAGTAGGCCCAGACATAACTCCTTGTCTGTAGGTATGTCCAGTTCTGTGCAGCCTATTTGTGTGTGTCTGTCTAGAGGTCTGTGTGAGCTGTGGGTGTGTCAAGTGTTTATGTCTGTGTGTCTGACTGTTCCTCGGTTGTGTTTACCTACGCTGATCTATGTGTCTGGTCCTCTGTTTGTAGATAAGGGTCTATGGCCCCTTGGTTTGTGTGTCTGAATGTGTGTTTGTGGGGCCTGTTTGGTGGATCAGGATGTATTTACAGGATGAGCATCTCTGTTGGTCTGATTTCTTCAAAGTATGTATTTGTGGCTCTGAGCACCTTTGTCAGGATGTGTGACTCTGTACAAATGTCCATCTATGTCTGTCTATCTGTCTGTGGGTCCTTAGAGGTGGTGTTGGGTTTGTGTGCCTCTGTTTTCTCTCTAAGGACCCGAGTCATGTCTCTGTTCCTCTCTCTCTCTCTCTCTCTCTCTTCTGATTCCTCCTCCCCCCACCCCACCTTTCTTTTTTTTCTTCTTCCCATCCCCCCACCAAGTGGATCCGGGACCCAGGGAGGGCCGTCCTCCGGGCCTGGTGGCTCTAAGCAGGGCCCCCCAGCCCCCACCTCCTACTTCACGACATGAACCTTCTCTACCGAAAAACCAAGCTGGAGTGGAGGCAGCACAAGGAGGAGGAGGCCAAGAGGAGGTAAGGCTGTGTCCTGGAATGCCCCCTTACCTGCCTACTTCCGCCTCCCCCTAGCTGGGTCACATCCCTTCTGATCTCAGAGTCTGTACAGAATTGCTGGAATGGCACACACCCTGTCCCCACCCTGCTCCTGCCTCCAGACTCTGTCCTGCCCTTTTGGGGGGCTTCCAGCTTAGGAGCACCCTGTTGGCTCTTTCCATTCCCAGAGGCCCAAGTCACTCCTTCCTAACTCACCTCTGGCCTGTGGTCTTCTCTCTCAATTTGGGGCTGGCTCCTGGCTCCCCTGTCACCTGACCTTGGAAGGGGCAGGCCATGCTGCCCTCACAGTCCAGGGATGGGGTCATTTGTGGGGCACCAGAGAAGATCCATTTGGCCCCCTCTCAGCCTCTGCTGGGGGAGGTGAGTGGCCCAGTGGTAGGGTTGTGTGTGTGTGGTGAGGGACATGTAGGCCCTACAGAAGACCCAGAGCTTGCCCTCTCCCCTGGCCCTCCCAGGGACCTAGGGTCTGGCCTCTTCTGTCTTGCTCCCTTCTCATCTTCACTCCCATTGACTGCACAGCCTCTTGGAGCCTGAGTCAGAGCCATTTCCCTGCTCCCTTCTCCCTCCTCGAAACTAGAGTTTAATTCTTGTTAATTAGATTAATCAGAGCTATCATTGCAGTGATCTCTTCCTAATGAAGGGTTAGTAGACAGGGCCTTAATGAAAGCCCACCCCACAGTTCTCCCCCTCTTGCCTGCCAGCCATCCCCTAACCTTCACTCATCCAGAAGCTCAGAGGACAGTGAAAGGGAACGGGGGTGAGCCTGGGAGGGTGACAGAGAGAGGACAGCACTGAGGAGAGAGACAGACAGAGATCAGATCAGCCGGGGGAGGCTGCTCTAGTGATGTGGTGGTACAGCCCCGAGTCTGGGAGAGGAGGTGCGGTGTGGTGTGGAGCATAGGCCACTGAGGCTGGACATGGGGAAGGCCAGAGGCCAGGTGTGAGCAGGAGTGAAAAGGAGCAGAACTGTGGTGGCAGGTGTGAGCCAGATGGGGTTGTGCTGCCTGGGTGTGCCATCTCTCTGCCTATGTATGAAATCGTCCACATGTGTGCTGTGTGCTGGATATGCCTAGGCTGAGATCGGCCAGCACTAGGCTGCTCCCCTGCACACATACTTACCTCTTCTCTCATCCCATTTTTAAAGCCCAGGGATTCTGCCTGAAGCTTCTACTTCAGTGCCCTGGACCTTCAGGCCTCCCCCCATCCCCACCCCAGTCCCTCTTCTTTCTCCCTGGGAGGCCACAGGGTTGCAACCGACCTCTGCTCCATCTTGGCCTTCTCTCCCCAGCTCCAGTAAGGAGGTGGCTCCTGCAGGCTCGGTAGGGCCCGGGGCTGGCCCAGGGCCCGGGGTCCGTGTGCGGGACATCGCCTCTCTGCGCCGCTCCCTCAGGATGGGCTTCATGACTATGCCCGCCTCCCAGGAGCACACCCCCCACCCCTGCCGCAGCGCCATGGCCCCTCGATCCCTCTCCTGCCACTCGGTGGGCAGCATGGACAGTGTGGGGGGTGGTCCTGGGGGAGGAGGTGGGGGTCTCACTGAGGACAGCAGCACACGAAGACCCCCAGCCAAGCCCCGGAGACACCCCAGCACCAAGCTCAGCATGGCAGGGTCCGGGGCAGAGACGCCCCCTAGCAAGAAGGCAGGTGAGATACCCCCAACCCTCCCCAGGGGAAGCACGGGGTGGGGACTTGGAAGGTCCATTCCAGGCCAGGGGAGGCCTGCTGGGAGGGTTCATTCAGGGAAGAACCAAGGAAGTGGAAGATTTCGTTCTCAGAGGGGCTGGGGGTGGTTCCTTTTTGGAAGGGTTTGAGATGGATTATTCAAGGACAGGGGAAGTTTCCTGAAAAGTTCAATCTTGGGGAAGCAGTGACATGTCCTTGGAGGTACAGGAGGGTGGGAGAGAACTGAGGGTGGGAGCTTCAGATTCTGAGGAGTTCATTAGAAGGACTGCGGGCTGACTGGTAAGATGGGAACCCACTGGAGCTGTAAGTTGAGAAATGTGGGCAAAATGAAGAGGCAGCTATGTCCTTGCAGGTGGGTCAAGAGGTCAGAAGGGGTCTCCCCTATTCCCGTCCGCAAACGAGCACAGTTTATTTTTCTCTTTCCCGTTTTTCCCAGGCTCACAGAAGCCAGCCCCAGAGGGCCGAGAGTCTAGCCGGAAGGTTCCTCCACAGAAGCCCAGGCGAAGCCCCAACACCCAGCTCTCTGTCTCCTTCGATGAGTCCTGCCCCCCAGCTCCCTCTCCCCGAGGGGGAAACTTGCCCCTTCAGCGCCTCAGTAGAGGGTCCTGCATCGCTGGGGACCCTGAGGTGGGTTCCCAAGAAGAAGAGCCAGTGTACATTGAGATGGTGGGGGATGTCTTCAGGGGAGGAGGAAGATGTGGAGGGGGCCTGACTGGGCCCCCTCTTGGGGGTGGGGGTCCGACCCCTCCAGCTGGCGCTGACTCAGACTCGGAAGAGAGTGAGGCCATATACGAGGAGATGAAATATCCGCTGCTCGAGGAGGCAGGGGAAGGCCGGGCCAATGGGCCCCCTTCGCTGAACATCGCCTCCTCGCAACACCAGCCTCATGCCCTCCAGCCCCACACCCACCATCGTCCAGCCTCCGCCCTCCCAAGCCGGAGGGACGGGACCCCCACCAAGACCACTCCTTGTGAAATCCCCCCGCCCTTCCCTAACCTCCTTCAGCATCGCCCTCCACTTCTGGCCTTCCCCCAAGCCAAGTCCGCTTCCCGAACCCCTGGCGATGGGGTCTCAAGGCTACCAGTCCTCTGCCACTCCAAGGAGCCAGTGGGCTCTACCCCAGCTCCCCAAGTGCCTGCCCGAGAGCGGGAGACGCCTCCCCTACCACCGCCGCCTCCTGCTGCCAACTTGCTGCTGCTGGGACCCTCGGGCCGGGCCCGGAGCCACTCAACACCGCTGCCACCCCAGGGCTCTGGCCAGCCCCGGGGAGAGCGGGAGCTCCCCAACTCCCACAGCATGATCTGCCCCAAGGCGGCAGGGGCGCCGGCAGCCCCTCCTGCCCCAGCCACCTTGCTCCCTGGCCCCCCCAAGGACAAGGCCGTGTCTTACACCATGGTGTACTCAGCAGTCAAGGTGACCACCCACTCCGTCCTGCCAGCTGGGCCTCCCTTGGGCGCTGGGGAGTCCAAGACAGAGAAGGAGATCTCAGTCCTCCATGGGATGCTGTGCACCAGCTCGAGGCCCCCCTTACCTGGGAAGTCCAGCCCCCACAGCGGAGCCATGGGCACAGCAGCTGGGGTTCTCCATCACCGAGGCTGCCTGGCCTCCCCACACAGCCTTCCGGACCCAACTGCAGGCCCCCTAACCCCCCTCTGGACCTACCCAGCCTCCGCAGCTGGGCTTAAGAGACCCCCTGCCTATGAAAGCCTCAAGGCTGGGGGGGTGCTGAATAAGGGCTGTGGAATGGGGGGCCCATCCCCCCTGGTCAAGATCCAGCTGCAAGAGCAAGGGACTGATGGGGGTGCCTTTGCCAGTATTTCCTGTGCCCACGTCATCGCCAGTGCAGGGACACCAGAAGAAGAGGAGATGGGCGCAGCGGCATTTGGGGCAGGCTGGGCTCTGCAGCGGAAGGTCCTGTATGGAGGAAGGAAGGCAAAAGAACTGGACAGTGAGTGAAAGGAAGGTGGGGAGGGGTGCGGATGTCCATGGTGATTTAGGGGAGACCTTGGAGGAGTTATTTGGAAGCCATGGCCCATTGTCCTGAACTGGGAAGAGTTCTGGGAGACCAGAGGGCTGGGGGTATGCAGTGGACTAAAGGGACGGGGTTCCCAAGTGTGTGCTGAAGGGGCAGTAAGATCTGGGCTGGGGAGGTAGAATCTGGCCCCCAGAGCAGCCTCTCCTCCTGCCCCATCCTGCTGTACTCCCTGCCCCTCCCTTTGCTGGGCTGCAGGGGTGTGTGTGAGTGTGCGCACACTTGGAGCTAAACACAGCTGCCTCCCAGCTGTTACCATGGCAACTTGTCCAGACTGGAGGAAGAGGAGAGGGAGGCCCCTACTGTTGCCTGGCAACGCAATGCTCTGCCAGGCCTACTCTCAGAGATGAGCTTAGCTCACAGTCAGCCCTTCCTCCAACAATTTCCCCCCAACATACACACGCACACTTCCTGGCTCAGGATATAGGATTCTTCCCCTCCTGGAGATAGGGCCCCTGTTCTGTTTGGGTAGGTAGTCATTACAGCCCTATCTGGGGCTGTAGGGGCTTGGAAGCTAAAGCTGGGATAGGGTAGGTCCCTCTGCCAGGAGTCATACCAATGATTGCAATGGAAGGTAGCAATATTCGGGTTCCTCCTGTGTGTGAATGTGCCGGGGGAGTGTGACGTAGCCCCCTCCTTTCCCCGCTGTGACCTGCAAAGGGGCAGCTACTAGTGATCCACCCGCGCTGCAGTGTGTGGAGCTGGGGGATAGCAAGACCCCTCCCACATACAGGCGCTGAGCTCTCCTTGTCATCCCAGCAGAGGCTGAGGAGAGTGCCCGGGCCTGGAACGGCAGCACCGAGGGTCCAGCCAAGGCGGAGCGCGAGGACAGGGGTCCTGTGGCATCAGGGATCCCAGTGAGGAGCCAGGGGGCAGAGGGCCTGCTGGCCAGGATCCACCACGGAGGAGACCGAGGAGGGAGTCGCACGGCGCTGCCCACACCCTGCCAGACCTTCCCGGCCTGCCACCGAAACGGAGGTGACACCCGGCCCTCCCACCCCTGTACACAGAGGGGGTGGGCTGGGGGGAATCTCCCAGGGCCCGTGTCCGGGGGCCTACACCCTAATACCTCATCTGCATCCCCTTCCCGCTGATGAGGCAGGGGGCCGCCTGGAAGGGGCTGTCCTCGGGAAACTAGGGGAGCCCTGAAGGCCCCTTCCCTCACTTCCTCCTCAGACTTCACCGGAGGCTACCGCCTGGGGCGCTCTGCCTCCACCTCGGGAGTCCGGCAGGCCGTGTTCCACACCCCCAGACCCTGCAGTCAGCCCCGGGATGTTCCCAGCCAGGTGAGGAGGAAGATGCGGTTGGGTTATGTTTGTGAAGGGACAGATAGAGAAGAAGGCCAGGATGTGGGAAGAAAGGCATGAAGTCAGGCTGGGCCCTGGCACAGACTAATAGGGTCCAGG